GTGGCGCGTGCGGGGGCAATGGTAAGGATGCGAGCTGGTCTGGCATATTGGTTCGACATGCGACGATCGGTCGACGCGCGGCGGTCGATCGATCGAGGGGCACGGCGACCGCCGACCCCCCCCCACCCCCTTCCAGGCGCACGACGATTGACCACCTAGGGTTGGGGCCGTGCGACGATGGATCGAGGGGCACGGCTGCCGCCGCCCCCCATTCGCTCCTCTCCTCGACCTCGCTCTTCCGAGCCCCCTATCTCCCCCCCACCCTCTCCACGCCTCCCCCCATTCTTTCCGTCCCCCGACGCACTCCTTTGCCCCTCCCCCCCGTCTCATCATCCTCCACCTTCTACTCCGCCTTCCCAGCCTCCTCCTCATCCTTCTTTCCCTCATCCCCTCTTCTCCTCGCGGCTGCTGCTGCTGCTCATCCTCCTCCACCTCCTCTTTACTCGTTTCGCCCAGCGAGGATCCTTCTCGACGAAGGTGATGAGCCACGACGGCTTGCTCCCGCGGCCCCTCGCCAGGTGGGCAGGGGGGTCGGAGGGCGCACGGCGCAAGGCAGGGTTGGGACGAGGATGGCGCGAGGAGAGGGAGAGAGGGAATGAGGCGGAGAAGGAGGATGAGAAGCAGGAACAGCGGAGCAGGAAGATAAGGAGGAGGAGGAGGAGGGTCCTCCCGTCACCACTCCTCCATATCCTTCTCCTCCTCCTCCTCCTCCTTCTCCTCATTCTCCTCCTCCTCCTCCTCCTCCTCCCCTCCTCGCCCTCCTCCTCATCCTCCCCCATCCTCCCTCTCGTCCCACTCACCCCCTTAAATTTCTCACGATGGTGCGGGGGGGGGTGCTACTGGGGTTATCCAGGATTCATTGGGCGATCGGCTGTCCTGAAGCGCACCGTCGCCTGCTCGACGCGCCGCATCGTCGCGCGGAGCCGGCGCGCCACGCGAGTGCACCAGTCCGACATGTCATCGGCGAGGTGCCAGGTCTCCTCGTGGAAGGTCGCCAGCGCCTCCAGCTGCTTCACGAGCGCGGCCTCACGAGGAAGGAATGGAGAAGGAGAAGGAGACATGGAGGAGACATGATAGAGAAGGAGCATTAGAGTTACGAACCTGTGTCAAGCTCGTCGCGGGCTTCACGGCCTTCCGCAAGGCCACGATGAAGTCAGCCCACTTCATCAGCGCCTCTGGGTCGATGTCGCCCTCGAGGTCGCCAATGTAGTCCTCGAGCTCCGTCGGTTCCTTCAGGAAGTCCGTCAGCGCGCTCAGGACCTGCGCGGCGTCGCCACGCGCCCTCGGCAGCATCGCGCCCAGGGCGACGGGCCAAGAACAGGCCGCGCGCGGCAAGCCAAGATTGCCGCGACATCGAGGGTTGAGAAACTGACCCTCGCCCAGAAGGGTTGGAACGGTGCAGGTGAACAGGGGAGGGGGAGGAGGCAGGAGGAGGGGCACGGGCGAGAAAGAGTGGCAGGATAAGTGTTGAAGCGACGCAAGGGAAAGAGATTGCGTAGGTAAAATGCAGCAAAGGGTGCAGCAGCGACACCTGGGACGGGGATGCAGCAACATGAGAGGGGAGGTATCTACTTGGACCTGGAGAACCTCATGCTTTGCCTGCTGCTTGCTTGCTGCATTGCTGGTCGTTCGGGGTGTTTCGTGTTTTGTTTGAGGATGTCTCGCGCGAAACGCTAACTTCTGTATGTGCAGGCTGTCTCGAGCGAAACGCTACTTTCTGTAAGTATATGTATACATATATATTCTCAAAAATAAGATGTTATATGATGTTGGGTGTGGTATCTTATTTTAAGATGCTCAGCACCTCTGGGTTCGAAAGAAAAATATGTCTTGGAGTGGCCTTTTTTCGGCACCGCCTCGGAATTCAATTTTCCGGCGCCGGCCGGCGCCGGAACCGGCCCGGGCGCTGGCCCGGGTGCTGGCCCGGGCGTTTGGCTCGAGCGCCGGCCCGGGTGCCAGAAGCGGCCCGGAAGGGGTTACCGGGCGCCGGGAGCAGAAAATCAATATTTTCGAAAGAAAAATATGTCTTGGAGTGGCCTTTTTTCGGCACCGCCTCGGATTTCAATTTTCCGGCGCCGGCCGGCGCCGGAACCGGCTCCGGGGCGATTGTTGTTGGTTGGGCCGGGTTTTGCCGGACCTTGGGCGTTTGGCTTCGAGCGCCGGAGAGGCTAGGGTGATGGAGGATTGGCCCGGAAGGGGTTTTCAGGGCGCCGCGGAGGATGGAAAAACAATATTTCGAGAAGAAAACTTGCTCTTGGGTGGCCGTTCCTTTTTTTTCGCTATGGCAACGCCTCGGAATTCAATTTTCCGGCGCGGCAGTGTGCTCCTGCGCGGTTTGTGCCTGTGTTCTTTATCGCTCGGCGTCTTGCCGTTTGCTCTGTGTTGGTTCTGCCGTGCTCTGTGGTCTGCTCTGTGGTCTGCGTGCTCAATTGGGGTTCCGCGAGTTGTGGTGGGGTCTGCCGTTTGCTCCTGCGGGGGAAAAAGCCGCGCGTTTTGGGGGGTACAACAAAAGGCGCGTTTATGTTGTACATGCGCGCGGTCTGCCGTGCTCCTGTGGGGATTGCCGTGCTCCTGTGTGGTCTGCCGTGCTCCTGTGTGGTTTGCCGTGTTCCTGTGGTCTGCCGTGCTCCTTTGTGGTTTGCCGTGCTCCTGTGGGGTCTGCCGTGCTCCTGTGGGGTATGCCGTGCTCCTGTGAGGTCTGCGGTGCTCTTGTGTGGTCTGCAGTGCTTCTGTGGTCTGCCGTGCTCATTTGGGATCTGCCGTGCTCGTGTGGTGTCTGCCGTGCTCCTGCGGGATCTGCTGTGTTCCTTGTGTCGTCTCTCTGGTCTGCCGTGCTCCTTTGTGGTCTGCCGTGCTCTTGTGGGGTCTGCCGTGTTCCTGTGTGGTCTGCCGTGCTCCTTTTTTCCGCCTGCCGTGCTCCTGCTCATTTTCTGAGGACGTCCCGAGCGAAAACGTCATTTTTAACATAAGAGGTTGTAAAACACCTCTGTCGGCATCTCATTTGTTCGAGGATTGTCTCGAGCGAAAACGCTCATTTTTCAATGCTTAACAAAAAAATTTTTGATTAATATTTTTCAACATCCCGATTGTTTTGAGGATGGTCTCGGCGAAACCGTCATTTTTAACATAAGACGTCTTAGACGATAGCCTCCAACACCTCGATTTTTCGAGGATGTCTCGAGCGAAATGGCCATTTTGGGGAACCTGACCGGACAAGAACGGGAAGCGACGTTTTTTATCCACCACGTGCGTCAGAGACCGTATTGGCGAGAACGTCAGAGAAACCCATAAACGCAACAGAACAGACTAAATGGTGGCCTGCCGCGCTGGTCTGTCGAGGTAGTCTGCTGCCCTGGCCACATCATGGTGTCGACACCGTGCTTTTCTCTCGGCCACGCGGGCCCCCACACGTTGTCGCCCAGCCTACTTTTTCTGTTCCAGCCTGTCTTGTCTTTTGTTTGTCCGTCGTCGTCGTCGCGTGCCTTTCCTTTGTCGTGGTCGTCGTTTTCATTATAATCGTCCGCTGTTGCCGTTCTCGCTGTCGCCGTCGTTATCATTTTATGATTGCGGTCGTTTTTATGATTGTTTTTTTGTTGTTGGATTCCGTGTTCGGTTGGTTTTTGTGTTATGTTTGTGGTCGTTTTCTGTAATCGTTTTTTGTCGTAATTTTCGAGATCGTTATTGACGAAGACGACGACGACGACGATGACGACGACGACGATCTGCCGTGCTTCTGTGGCGTCTGCGGTGATCGTGATGGGGCGTGCTTTCTTGGTTTCGCCAGTTTCGGTTGTCCTGTGGGGTTGCCGTGCTTCCTCTGTGCGGTCTTCTGTGCTCCTGTGGGTTGCCGTGCTCCTTTGGGGGTCTGCCTGCTACTGTGGAGTTTTGCCGTGCGAACGTGTGGACTGCCGTGTGTAGTCCTGTGTGGTCTGGCGTGTTCCTGTATGGTCTGCCGTGCTCTTGTGTGGTTTGCCGTGCTCCTGTGTGGTCTGCCGTGCTCCCGTGGGGTCTGCCGTGTCCTGTGTGGTCTGCCGTGCTCCTGTGTGGTCTGCCTTGCTCCTGTGTGGTCTGCCGTGCTCCTTCTTGGTCTGCCGTGCTCATGTGCGGTCTGCCGTGCTCCTGTGCGGTCTGCCGTGCGAACGTGTGGACTGCCGTGCTCATTTGGGGTCTGCCTTGCTCCTTTGTGGTTTGACGCGCTCCTGTGTGGTCTGCCGTGCTCCTGTGTGGTCAGCAGACCCAGGGCTGAGGGAAGGCTGGAGCAGTGCTCTGGTGGTCCTTCACCCGCCCAGCTCCGTCCCCTCACACTCTGGACCGATCTTGCGGGAAGCTGGCTTGTGGCAGCGCATCGCGCGTCGGCCGCCAGCCCAGGTGCCGGCCCGGGCGTTCGGTTCGAGCGCCGGCCTGGGTGCCGGAATCGGCCCGGAAGGGGTTCCAGGGCGCCGGGAGCAGAAAATCAATATTTTCGAAAGAAAAATATGTCTTGGAGTGGCCTTTTTTCCGCACCGCCTCGGAATTCAATTTTCCGGCGCCGGCCGGCGCCGGAACCGGCCCGGGCGCTGGCCCGGGTGCTGGCCCAGGCGTTCGGCTCGAGCGCCGGCCCGGGTGCCGGAAGCGGCCCGGAAGGGGTTCCCGGGCGCCGGGAGCAGAAAATCAATATTTTCGAAAGAAAAATATGTCTTGGAGTGGCCTTTTTCGGCACCGCCTCGGAATTCAATTTTCCGGCGCCGGCCGGCGCCGGAACCGGCCCGGGCGCTGGCCCGGGTGCTGGCCCGGGCGTTTGGCCGTGCTCATTTGGGGTCTGCCGCGCGCCTGTGAGATCTGCCGTGCTCCTGTTGGGGAAACGCCAGCGGCGTTCGGGGTACAACAAAAAGGCGCGTTTATGTTGTACCCGCGCGCGGTCTGCCGTGCTCCTGTGGGTTCCGCCGTGGTCCTGTGGCGTCTGCCGTGCTCCTGTGGCGTCTGCCGGGCTCCTGTGTGGTCTGCCGTGCTCCTTTGTGGTCTGCCGTGCTCCTGTGGAGTCTGCCGTGTTCCTGTGTGGTCTGCCGTGCTCTTGTGGTCTGCCGTGCTCATTTGGGATTTGCGTGCTCATGTGGGGTCTGCCGTACTCCTGTGTGGTCTGCCGTGCTCCGGTGGTCTGCCGTGCTCCTTTGGGGTCTGCCTTGCTACTGTGGGGTCTGCCGTGCTCCTGTGTGGTCTGCCGTGCTCCTGTGGTTTGCCTTGCTCCTGTGTGGTCTGCCGTGCTCCTTTTGGGTCTGCTCTGCCGTGATCCTGTGGGGTCTGCCGTGCTCCTGTGGGGTCTGCCGTGCTCTTGTGGGGTCTGCCGTGCTCTTGTGTGGTCTGCCGTGCTCTTTGTGGTCTGCCGTTGTCCTGTGTGGTCTGCTTGCTCTGTGTGGCCTGCCGTTTGCTTTTGTGTGGTTCTGCCGTTGCTACTATTGGGTCTGCTTCTCGTGCTCCTGTGTGGTCTGCCGTGCTCCTCTGGGGTCTGCCGTTGTTCGGCCGTCTTGAGGGCACTCTTAGGGCATAGTCTGCCGTGCTCCTCGTCTTGGTCTGCCGTGCTCCTCGTCTTGTTCATCCTTTCCGTCGTCTTGAGGGCGCTCTTGGTGCCTGGTCTGCCGTGCTCCTCGTCTTGGTCTGCCGTGCTCCTCTCGGTTCCTAAGCCTGGTCTGCCGTGCTCCTCGTCTTGGTCTGCCGTGCTCCTCTCGGTTCCTACGCGCGGTCTGCCGTGCTCCTGTGGGAGCACGGCAGACCACAGGAGCACGGCAGACCACACAGGAGCACGGCAGACCACACCTCGATTTTTGAGGATGTCTCGAGCGAAATGGCCGTGGTCTGCCGTGCTCCACACAGGAGCACGGCAGACCACCTGCTCATTTTCTGAGGACGTCCCGAGCGAAAACGTCATTTTTAACATAAGAGGTTCTAAAACACCTCTGTCGGCATCTCATTTTTTCGAGGATGTCTCGAGCGAAACGCTCATTTTTCATGCATAACAAAAATTTTTGATATTTTTCAACATCCCGATTTTTTTGAGGATGTCTCGAGCGAAACCGTCATTTTTGACATAAGACGTCTTAAACGATAACCTCCAACACCTCGATTTTTCGAGGATGTCTCGAGCGAAATGGCCATTTTGGGGAATCCGCCAATGAACCTGACCGGACAAGAACGGGAAGCGCCGTTTTTTATCCACCACGTGCGTCAGAGACCGTATTGGCGAGAACGTCAGAGAAACCCATAAACGCAACAGAACAGACTAAATG